GCAGGTGAGCGCGCGGCCGGAGGGGGGCGTGGGCGGCCTGGGGGACCCGGCTGGGGCTGCGGAGCCGGAGCCGCTGCGTGGAGGAGGCGGGCCTCCGCTGCAGAGCAACTTTCTGGCGGCTCTTTTGCACAGACCCAGCTTAGTAGGAGGTAGAGCCAGGGCAAGAGGCTGGACTTGGCTGTGAGACTGGCGCACGCAGCCCTCCTGGGCTCCATTAGGTCCTAGTCTTCGGGACGAAGCGGAGCGAGTGGAGGAAGACTGCAGTTCTAGATCCATCTGGGGCTTTGAAACTTTCAGGAACGCTTACTTCGCAGCGTCCCCTTGTTGAAGGTCGCTTTGGCAAGAGGATTCTATTGACCTATTTCAGCGCCAAAACTGGGGAAGGGGCGCGATTGGGGAGGAAGGAGTGGGCGTCATATGCACTGTTGTTAGCTCTCATTTCCCAGTAAAGAATTTCGCAGGGCCCATTCATTGCCTTGAGTCTGGTGACACATGTCACCTTGGGGAAAGGGGAGAAGTGAGCTTGGACCTAAAGTTTTCTCCCCAAATCAGTCCCTTTTAAAACTCTTCTGTGGATAAGCCTTCTTCTCCGCTGCCAGGAAGCTTTGCAATCATAGTCTGTATTAATTATCTTAAAAACTGTTCAGGGAAGAAGCATTTCCTTTAAATACTTACTTACTCCTGTCAAAGGCCTTTTTAAAATGCTAAAGAGTAAGGATGTCAGCTGAGATAATAACATGCATCTGATTCAAGACTTTTCATTGCTACTTATGCATCTGAAAGTTGGACAGTGAATAAGAATGGCAGAAGAACAATGCCTTTAAGTGGACTGGCAAAAGAACACACAAATCTGTCTTGCAGGAGGTGGAACCAGGGTGTTTTAAAGTTATGTTTTAAAGTTTCATCTTTAGGAGCATGTTGTCTTTGAGCTTTGTTGTCCGGGAAGAGAGCATTGTCAAGAGTTGAGTCTTTGGAAAAAGACATGATGCTAAGCAAGGTGGTGGTTAGATGGCAACCATTCAAGTACAACTAAGGACGACCCTATGAACAGCAGATCTAAACCCTGTCCTCTCCTGTGCTATCCTCACCATCTCCAACACACGTAAACCTATTGCTGTAGTCTCTGTGTCAATCCATGTTGAGGACGGTCAGAGAAAAAGAGGAATGCGCTTGAGCAGATCAGGAATTGTGACGATGCCACCGGACAGGACAGGGTTCAGATCTGTCATTCAGAGGCTAGCTATGAGTTGTAGTTGACTCAGCTGCACCTAACAACAACAGTAACAACTGTGTTAAGTGCTGTATAGAATTTAACTCGTTTAATAATCGCCTTATAAATTGTATTGCTATTCATATTCATGTTTTACAGATGGGAAACTGAGTCGCAGAAAGGTTAAATAACTTACCCAAGTTTGCACATTCCAAATGCTTAATTCCTCTCGTCAAGCTCCCTTTCTCTGCCAGCATGTTGTAGGGTAAAGCAATGTGGCTCTTGCCCAAAGTCAGAAATGGGAAAGTATATAGTACAGGAAAAGTGTACACTACACAATCTAATCTTTTCAGTTGGAGCCATTGCTGTCCTAACTCTGTGAAGCTTTCTCCTGTGGGTCCATAGAAATAGTGCTGGGATTCCTGTGGAGATACTAGGGATGCTTCCTACCTGTATGTTACATTCCATGTCCAGCCTAACGCTAAAGGACTAATTCTTAATATCTTCAAGATTTCTGGAAGTCGTATTTTATACATGATGATTTCTTTCCTCATGAACTCATGAAAAGCTATAAAAATGATGTTCTGTGGAAAAGTAAATTTGGCAGATTTCTTTATGAAGTGTTTGCTACCATTAGAATAACCTGAGGTTGGCCTTTTCTGCCTCAACAGTGAGGTAATGAGAGGAGCAGCTGGTGGAGGTAACTGCAAAGGAAAAGTGGGCTGAAATCTCTAAGGGGGTTTTGGCTGAAGAACTGTCCCCAAACATCAGAAGCAATGTAAGATTTAGGGAGTGTCGTCCTCGTTGGGGTATTCTGATTCCCAAGGAACTGCTAAGTCATTAATTTCCTCTTATCTTGTAACAGTGTTCCTTTATCCTCTAAATGCACACACTTATCCAAGTAGAATGATGAGCTTAACAGTTTAGTTCATAATTTTACTTTCTTTTATAATTTGTTGTTATAAAATTTTTATATTCTTCCTGACTGAAGTGATTTCTTTGCCTCCCACCCCCTGCCAAGACATTACACTTCAAATGGAGAAACCACATTCTACCAAATGGGGAGGCCTATGAAAGACACTATCCAAGCATTTCAAAGGCCCCAGAAAGTGAATTCTCTAGCAGCAGGTGTATTTGAAGAAGAAATTGTGGATACTGCCTTCCTACCATTGAAAAAAATCTCAACTAAAAAAACACCTCAACTCTGTCTAAATGTGTTACCTCTGTAGACCATCTTGGAGATCCTAAACTACGACTAAAAAAAAAAAAATCCCTTTTCTTTTTTTTTTTGTTTCTTTCTGTGGATTATTTTTTAATTATTATACTAGTTTATTTACAAAATTCAAATACACTGTTTTTCAGACCAGAGTCTTCCAATTTTCCTGACTCCCTCCATCAAATTATATAATCCCATGATTAATCGACCTCCTCTCTTACACATTCCTATCTCTCTGCTTCTACCCTCGACCCTCCTTGAATCCTCATATTCATTCTAAATGATGGTTTTATACAATATTTGCCCTTGTGGGACTGAGTCAGTTCACGTAGCATAATGCTCTCCAGTCCCTCCCACACTAGGCAATAATTTACAAAGTCATTGCTCCTGCATGTTAAGTAGTATTCCACGGGGTTAATGTACCATTATTTCTCAATCAATTCTATTATGGTTGAACATCTGTGCTGTTTCCATGTTCTTACGATGGTGAATAACACTGCTATGAGCATTCACAACAAGAAGGATACTTCTTAGATATTATTTTTTTGTTATATGAATTAAAATGCCTTAGAATATGAAGTTGATTTAGTCAGAAATATGAAGTAGTTGGTGGTTTTACTCAATTTGTGGCATTATTTGCTGCTACTGGGTCAAAATCTGACTTAGCAAGTCTCTCCAACAGGTTTTCAAAGCTGTAAATCTTCATGGATGGGACCTGCCCATTTTTCTTCCATGGAGCCACTGGTGGATTTGAACCACTAACCTTTTGACATAGAGACCCTCTTATTTGTGATTTGGACATACCAAGACATAAACATAGTAGTAATGTCAAGAAGACAAGGAGTCTCATCACTAAGCCAATTGGCAGCATCAGGATGGATGGTGAAGAGATTGAGACTGTTCACAGATTTAGTCTGCTTGTTTCCACAGTCAACACTCTCGGCACCAGTAGGCAGAAAATTAAAAGACGTATTGCCATGGGAAAGTCTGCTGTTAGGGACCTTTCCAAAGTACTGAAGAGCAATGGTGTCTCTCTGGAGACTAAGCTGTGTCTGATACAGGCCATGGTGTTTGCTCTCACTTGTTATGCATCAGAGAGTTGGACAATGTCTAGGGAGGACAGAAGGAGAATGGATGCCTTTGAGCTGTGGTGTTGGAGAAGAGTATTGAGGGTATGGACTACTAAGAAAACAAACAGATTCATCCTGGAAAGGGTTAAACCAGGCAGCTCCTTTGAAGCAAGGATTCTGAGGCTTCGTCTGATACACTTTGGACATGTTGTTAGGAGGGGACCGGTCCTTGGAGAGGGACATCATGCTCAGGAGGGTGGAGGGACAGCGCAGGAGGGGAAGGCCCTCTATGAGGTGGATTGATTCAGTGACTGGGATAATCGGGATGGGCGTATCAGAGACAGTGTGATTGGCACAGGACAGAGCTGAATTTAGGGCTGTTGTATATAGGGTCGCTATGAGTCGCAAGTGACTCGACAGCACATAACAACAACAACAACTGTCAGATCACCTTTCTTTGGAATGGGAACAAATGTAGATCTCTTCCAGTCAGTTGGCCAAATGATTGTCCTCCTTCAAAAACACTATGAAGAACTGGAAAACGTTGTTAGGTATCTTACTAAATATAGAGCTTTTCAGATTGGAAAACACTAAATAAATTTAAAAAAAAATAGTGTAAACGGCTGCACACATCCATTAATAACTGGAACATGGAATGTATGAAATAGATGTCTCGGAATGTTATAAGTTGCCAAAAATAAAATGCAATGCATAAAGATCAAACCTCTTAGGCATTAGTGAGCTGACTTTGACCATAGCTAACTTAGCTGGTATTGACCACGTTGAATCAAACAGTTATATGACCTATTATGCCAGGAATGACCCATGAGAAAGAATGATGTTGCAATCAACATCAAAAAGAACATGTCAAGATCTATCCTGAAGTACAGTGCTGTGAGTGATACATATGATACTAGCCATACACGTACAAGTTGCTAATACAATTATTATTCAAATACACGCCTAGACAACTGAAGCGAGCATGAAGAATTTGAGAACTTAGACCAACCTTTCCCCCCACCCCCACCCCTTGTTGTGTACAGTCAAAATCGGATCTGACTGGCACAGGAGGAGATTTCTCCTCCTTCTCCAGCAGAGCATCTGGTGGATTCGAACTGCATGTCTTCGGGATTGCAGTGCAGCTTCTTGCCACAAGGTTTTGACCAGCTTTTGTAGCCTTTGTTGTTTATTGCTGTTTAGATAAAAATACCACAAGTGGAAAGTAAAAAAAAAAAAATACCACAAGTGAGTGGCTTTAACAAACTTAAAAAAAGGCTTGTTTTCCTATTCATTCTGCAGTTCTTTTTATCTTTATTGGTACATTGAATACATTTATGTTTAGTGTAATTAATGTTGCTATTGTTATGTGCCATCGAGTTGCCTGTGACTCATAGTGACCCTAAGTACAATAGCCCTAAACCCTGCTCTGTCCTGTGCCAAAGTTATTGTCTCTGACACACCTACACTCATTACTCCAGTCACTGAAACAATCCATCTCATCGAGGGTCTTCCTCTCCTGCGCTGTCCCTCCACCCTCCCAAGCATGATGTCCCTCTCCAAGGACTGGTGTCACCTTGCAGCATGTCCAAAGTATGTCAGATGAAGCTTCAGAATCCTTGCCTGCAAGGAAAAAGCCTGGCCTCACC